GGAGGGAGGGAGGGAGGAGCTGATGATGGGGGAAGGAAGGAACTAGTGATAGGTAGAAGGAACTGGTGATGGATGGATGGAAGGAAGGGAAGAAAGGAAGGAAGGAGCTGATGATGGTGGAAGAAAGGAAGGAGCTTGTGATAGGTAGAAGGAACTGGTGATGGAAGGAAGGAAGGAAGATTTGAAATGCACATTGATCGCATTAAGAATTTTTTGGGATTGACAGGGTGGCTAATAAAAAAATAGTATTAATAAATGAGAGCATTGTGTATACCCCGGACTGCCAGAAAGGCAAACAAGTGGGTCCTAGATTAAATCAAGCCTGAACTCTCTCTGGAGGCAAAAAAAATGATGAAACTGAGGTTGTCCTGCTTTGGGCACCTTGCAAAAAGGCAACGCCTGAACTCTCTCTGGAGGCAAAAAAATGATGACACTGAGGTTGTCCTGCTTTGGGCACCTCGCGAGAAGGCAAGGTTCTCTGGAAAAGACCATCAGGTTGGGAAAGGTGGATCGAAGCAGGAAAAGAGGAAGACCAAATACGAGATGGTTCGACTCCCCCAAGGAAGCCACAACTTTTGAGTTTACAAGAACTGTTGAAGACAGGAGATTTTGGAGATCACGCCTGCCATGATTCAGAGGTGACTAGGTGGCTGGGACAGTGTGAAATGAAACAAGGGATAGTGCTGGAAGATGAGACTCTCAGAGTGGAGAAAAGCAAGGGACCTTTAGGAGGGCCGCTCATTCATGGTGTTACCATGAGTCAGAGGCAACCTGATGGCACATCACAACAACATTATGGATAAAGACTAAGACATCACGTTCTTGCTTAGGGTTGCCCCATACCTGGTCAAGAGTAGCTTACCAGAAACCCCAAACCAAAGAAAGGAACAAGATTAATTTGGCCACTAGATGGCAGCAAAAGATTATACTGTAATCAGGTCCAGCTCTGCATTCAAAAAGATTCAACCTTTGCATTTTTTTTTCAAAAGCCATGTTTATATGCGTTTATGCATTGTGTATTTAATGGGTTTTTCAGCTGAAGAAGACTCCGAGGGCAGGAAGAGGGGTTAATAACAAGGTGGTCACTGTTCACATGTTCACAAGCTAAGAAGAACTGGGTATAAAAAGAAAAAGGAAGAAGGGAGTCTGGAAGGAAGCAAATTTACGCACCAGTTGCCAGGGTGGTAAGTGGTGTGGTTCTGCTCCTCTGTGACCCATAAAAGGCCAGGATGAGGCTCAAAGTATACCTTACAAGCCACCTGCAGTTAGAAGCTGAAATGTCTTCTCATTCTAGAGATGTGATTGAGGCAGAACTTTGTGACCGAGACTTGCAACCGAAGCTTGCACTCGCCTCCCGACGGCCAATCCCAAAGTGAAGCAACCTAATCTGCAAACTATAAGGCAGGGGCCTGGCACAATCTATCCTAGCTGCTGCAACCAGATGCTGTCAGCATTTACGGAATTCCTTCTTCTAACGACGGGTGGTCTAGAACCGATCGTTGAACCGTGAGACGTAGCCAGGGGCCCTCTGGAAGATCGAAAAATGCCTCGGGATTGTTTTTCCCAGGGCTCTCCAGCCCCAGGATGGCATGCAACGGGATGTTGGGGATTAAGCGCGCAAGCCACGGTCATTCGGTTCATAGGGAGGCTGTCGGCCTCTCTCACTCTTGTCCCAAAGGGTTTGGCCTTCTCTTCGGCGGCCAGGTTATCCGAGGACTTTCCAGGTCCTGCAAATATTTCCTCGATGAACGTGGCCGGGGAGTTGTGTTTTACCCTCCCCTTTCGCAGGCTCTCCGTCGGCTGTCCGGCCAAGCCCAACCCAGAGCCAGCTGGGACCAGACCGCTCCAATCTCTTGCCAGCCTGCCTGGGTTTTTCTAACCAAAGTTGGGAAGGAGATGCACGGCTAATAATAGCATCTCCTCCTCCTCTGTTTGCACCCTCTTCACAGAGCCGATAGGAAAGCCACTCAGCCAGGAGAAAATAACCAGGCACGGGTTCGTAAAGGTTGAGACAACCCGTTTCGATTCTTTCCTCTCACCTGCTTGAAAAAAAGAGACACATATTATTATTTTTTTCCTCTTACTTGTTTGAAGTCCGAGCTAAAATGGCAAAGTTATTCCGCTCAGGATCTAGAAGACACTAAAAGAGACCGTGATCTTAACTAAAGAAGGAGGGAAAGAGGAGGGCCAACCCCTGAGACGGATTCGTTCAGCCAGGCCGATAACAACAGAATGGGCCACAGCAATAATAAATGGGTCTTTCCTTGAAGGCAGGTTTCCATTTGCCCTCAACGAGACACTCATTAGGCCCATAAGAAAAAAACCTAATATGGCGGCGGATGAAATTGGCAATTACAGGCCCGTCGCCAATGTTTCTTTCATTAGCAAAGTGGTCGAGAGGGTGGTGGCTGACCAGCTTCAGGCCCACTTGGATGAAACAGTTGCCCTGGATCCGTTTCAGTCGGGCTTCAGGCCGCGCCACGGTACAGAGACGGCATTGGTCGCCCTGTACGATGACCTGTTGAGGGAGGCTGACAGGGGCAAAGTGTCTCTGTTGGTTCTCCTCGACATCTCAGCGGCCTTTGATACCATCGACCATGGTATCCTCCTGGGGAGGCTCTCCGAGTTGGGAATTGGTGGCTTGGCGTTAGCCTGGCTCCGTTCCTTCCTGGAGGACCGACCCCAGAGAGTACAGCTTGGGGAGAGTTTTTCGGCCCCGTGGAGTCTCAGTTGTGGGGTCCCACAGGGGTCGATTATCTCCCCAATGCTGTTTAACATCTATATGAGGCCGCTAGGAGGGGTCATCAATATGCTGATGACACGCAGCTCTACATCTCCTTTTCACCAACTGCAGGTGATGCCGTCCTGTCCCTCCGCTGCTGGATGCAGGAAAATGGGCTGAGACTGAATCCGGACAAGACAGAACTTCTGAGGGTGGGCGGCCCCGTGATTGGTGACGTGGGTGACTCGCTCACATTTGGGGGGTTGACCCTGGCCGTGAAGAGCGGGGTCCGCAGCCTGGGGGTACATCTGGAACCGACACTCACCATGGAAACACAGGTGGCGTCGGTAGTCCGCACCGCCTTTTCCCACCGATGGCGGCTCACCCGGCTGCGGCCCTATCTCGACACGGGGCCCTCACTACCTTGGTGCATGTGCTCATAATCTCAAGATTAAACCACTGTAATGCGCTCTACGTGGGGCTGCCTTTGAGGCTGATGCGGAAACTTCAAGTGGTGCAGAATATGGTGGCCAGACTCCTCAGTGGAGTGAGAAAATACCAGCATATTTCTCCTACGCTGGCCAGGCTGCACTGGCTGCCCATTCGTTTCTGTATCGACTTTAACGTTTTAATGCTCACTTATAAGGCCCTAAACGGTTTAGGACTTCGATATTTGGCAGAACGCCTCCTCCCACCAAGATCTACCCGGATCACCCGTGCGAGCCAGGAGGTGAGGCTGAGGAGTCTGACGGCGAGAGAGGCCTGGAAGGAAAAGACACGAAACCGGGCCTTCTCGGCGGTGGCTCCTCGCCTCTGGAACAATCTCCCTCCTGAGATTCGCGCGGCCCCCACTCCGGGTACTTTTAAAACTCAATTTAAAACATGGCTATACATTCAGGCCTTCCCTCCAGCTAATACCTGATTTTCTGTTTATTTTCCTTTCATTTATTTTCTATTCTATCTTTGTATTCTATTTGTCATAGTATAATTTATGTACTGTATTATTTTATTGTTTACACTATATTGGAAGCCGCCTAGAGTGACAGGCCAGATGGGCGGGGTATAAATCAAATCAATCAATCAATCAATCAATCAAACAAACAAACAAATAAAGCCATGGGGCTGGGGTTTGTAAGGCCGATGCGTGATCGGAATTTTTCGGAGGTCGCTGATCCGTAGGATTGCCTATAAGTCGGAATCAATTCGATGGCAGACAAAATACAAATATTTAGGTCATATTTGAGCCCAGTTTGACCAGCTCCCTGATAGAGGAAGCTGAGAACTGAGCCCCAAAGCCAGAACAAGGGAAAATTTTTACTTTTTTGGACTACAAATCCCAGAATCCCCATCTACCCAACACTGTCCATAAGGAAGGAACATGGATCTCTTCCTACTTCCGTCACCTCAGTATCTTAGAGTTTCTGGCTTCCTAGCCGTTGGGAGATAATCCAGAAGTGGACGGGTCAAGGATCTGACTCCCTCTTTACATTCCTCCCTAAACCCACTCTTTATTTAGAAGTTCGGCCTCTTCATTTTGAAGGGACAGGCGACAGTTATAAAAGCACCTCCCGAGCACCACCACCCCCCAATTCAATCTGTGCTACCTCCAGCAGAGGTGTCATTTTTCCGCCCGCCCCCCTTTCTTTTAAAATCCCAGTTGGAACTGGGAATTCCAGCTGTGGAGGGCAGGACGGAGATGGTTGGGCCAGTAAAAGGTGGTTTTCTGGGTTGGAAAAGAAGCACATGCATGCAGGGACGGAAAGAGGGTCACGATGCACAAAAGAGGCCACATAAATCTGCTAAAAAAACAGATGAGGAAGAATGCACCCAGCCGCCTCTCCAGTCACACATTCCCCTCTTCACCGGAGTGTGTCGTCCAGAGCCGGATTCAATTTCACGGAGGGGGCTAATTTTAGACTACCTCGGCGTTCCCTCTCCGTTTCTCCAAAGCTCTCTATTCACTGGCTTAAGATTTATCCCCCTCCCCCACAAGCGGAATTCAAACCCGGTGCCCCTTCTTGAGAGACAACCTCCTGCTTGATAATCCTTCCGATTCCAATCAAAGTTGGGTCTCTTTGGGCAATTATTATTTATTATTGGCCTCCAGAATTGAGATCCTGAGTTTCTCTGGCCTGTGACCCACGTCTGGAGGGCTCACAAGAGATTAAAAGCAATGCAGGTTACAGTGATGAAATCTTTAATCCTCCACATACTCGAGGTTTTCTCACATGTGGACGTAGCAAATGCTTCCATGCGGCAGATTTCTGTTGATCACCACCACAGATCCCGAGAGCAAGCGACTGAATTATGTTCCTGAAACAGACTTTCCAAACTTTTTAATTAGGAATACTTAAGGAATCTAATCTGCCAATTTCGGGAGGGAGGGATCGGTGGTAGACCTCCTGGAGAAAAATGCATGGAGTGGGGACTTATTTATCCAGTGGTTATTTGCCACTTGACAGATGTTTTGACCCAGCTCACCAAACAACAAAGCTGTATCAAAATAGGTTTTAAAGGTGCCAGTTCGGAGAACAGATGTCCAAACTTTTGAGGAAACGATGCACATTTTGAAACAGAGGAAGCACCTCCTTTTTGGGCCAACCTTGGTCTCTTTAGGTCAGTCCAAAAAAACCTGCAAGGGCAGAACAGATGCATTTATGTCCCTAACACATGGCGTAAAGAACGTGTGAACATGCATGCAGGTTGTCCTACTTGTGCAGCTGGTGAGGCTAGTTTTTTACTGTGTCATATTAAAGATCACAACTGCTTTTTTCCCCAGGTTGACATTTTCCGATCCGCACCCCCTGCTTGAGAGGTCCAGTGAGGAAGCTGCAAAAAGCTGTGTCAGCTCCTCCGGTTTGCAAGTGGCAATCGAGGATGATATTTAAGATCAAATATTATCCCGGCGAAGGGAACTACCAGTACTTCTGGCCCTGGGGAAGAGCGTTCCAGTGCGATTCCTAATGACCCAATCGACCTCGGCCTTTTTATGAGGTTGCATTAATTTGTTTAACCTCCCGCTGCCCGGTTCTTGAACATCTCTTAGACTGATGAGAGGGCTCTGTATTTCAGGATAAACGAACCCTCAGTCGAATGGCTACTCCTGACTAGAGCAGACCTTTCAAATTAATGGGGAGTTGATGTTTTATGTCAATCCTATGGATCCAGCAGATTTCCTGCACTCAAAGAGGGCCAGACAAGAGGATCACTTCTTTGTCGAAGACTTGGGATGGCAAGAGAGAGTTACCAAAAGCTGCAGATTTCCTGCACTCAAAGAGGGCCAGAGAAGAGGATCACTTCTCTGTCGAAGACTTGGGATGGCAAGAGAGTTACCAAAGCCGCATGTGAGGCTACAGTCAAGCATGGATTAAATCCAGGATCGGAGTCCAGTGACTCACCCGGATTTAAAGGCCCCGTCAGCAGGTCCGCAGGCGACAGCATGCCCCGGCACGTAACTCCAGATTCAAAGAACATTGCAAGTCCCAGTTTTGGGGAGACCTGTCATCAGGCATGCAGCGCCAGAGGAAGGGGTGTGACAGAATAAACAAAGGGAGCTGATAACTTCTCTCTGCGGGCAAGAGGGTGGGTGACCCATAGGTGTGAACAATGCATGAAGAATGTAAAGCACCCCGGTGTTTTTTTTTAACTATTATTTTCCAGGTCACTTGCATTATGTCATTTCTCTCCTCCTCAAAACCAGTTTTTGTTGTTGTTGCTGAAAATGGTGGGCATGAGATCGTCATCCTCTGAACACCTTACTCTGGACATAACCCCCATTGGACTGAATGTAGGGGTAAATTTTGGAGTAAAAGTTACTTTGTGATCTATTGCACTGCCTGGCTTCTTTGCTTCTTCCGCTTCCAACGCTGTATCCCATTTTGACAGCGTTGTTAAGCTCCTTAAGGCAGAAAACTTCCTGTTTATAATGTTGGAAAGAACTAAGCCCATTCATAATACAAATAAATGTGTTAGTTTGGCTGCTAAGACCCTAAGAACATGGATCCACTCCGTGGGAAGAAAGGGGGCAAAAGACCGCCTCCCTCTCTTATGACTGTCTGAAAACAACGAGGCCGAATATTTCAACCATTTCTTTATTATGTGTACAAGGCGGTGTTATGCAAGCTTCGGGAACAGAACTAAACAGGTTTCCTGTGGCGACAGAGATACGGAGACAAAAGGCCTATTTTGCAAATTCAGTGTTCCATTATAAAAAAATTTTGAAACATACATGTTGAAACCAATGGAATATAAAATAAAATTTAAAAAAAAAACACACTCACACCTGTCCATGGGTATACCATAAATAAATTACGTTCACTTTCAACTATATACATAAAGCTGTTTTCCGAAGGACAGGGAGAGCACCAGATGGGGCTTCTTAACCGCTAATGCAAAGATCGAAATTAATATTTACATCAAATCTGTACATGGACCTTCTGGTTTTCCACAGATCCTAAAAAAACAACATGGAGAAATAAGAAATGAGTACCCAAGGTATGGAGAAAAAGCTTGCCGTTTTATGGCCAGAAAGGGGTGAGGGTGGGGGACAGGAAACTTTCATGCCCATCCTGGGAAAGACAACTCGTGGATATGGTCCTTTACCTATGAACAATTTAAAAACTGGTTCTGAATATCTTCAAAGACTTGCTTGAATAAGGCGTCTCTGGACTCTCGCCCATCCAAGTAAACTGAAAATAAGAACGGGGCGTGAATGCATGGTACAAGCTACTGTTCCGGCAGGGGTGGGGGGTAGAGTTTGCATCCATATTTCTATCAAACATGAATCTGGAGAGCCGGCCTTCTAATTATGGCCAGATAGATCGTTAGGCGGTCCTTACCAACGTCGACTTCCTTGGCCTCCATCTCTTTCCGGTGCTTGAGGTACATGGGCCAGACATGACCGTCAAAGAGACCAGGAGGGTCCGGTACAGTGTACCGGCGGGTACTGGGGGAAAAAAAATAAAATAAACATATGCAGTTAATCAACACTGCAGAACAATCTGTTTTTAAGGTCATCGCTTCACGACAGGGCTGGCATACGAAGCCAAGCTTCTATCTCACATGGGCTTAATGCTTTCACATCCTGCCAGGAACCAAAGGCTGGTTCACGATACAAAGAGACTTGGGCTTAAAACATTGCACCGGGGGGCTCCTGCATGGAATAAGTTCTTTCCAGATACCTCAGAATTTGTTTGAATGAACACTGGGATCATAGCCATGCAATAAAAGTTGGAACAGAGATAGCTTAGAGCAGCTTCCTGAACATGAAGACTATAATATGCAACAAGAACTTAAAATTGGATTTGAGAATTGCCATTATACAAGTGCAACGAGTTCTTGGATTTACTGTGGACTTTGACAGAGGCTACTATAAAAACAAATAAAAGCATGTGAAATGCAGATTTATTATAAGATGCTAAAAATGTATTAGATTGAGAAGGTATTAACCAGCAATGAAATGTTAAGGGTAGACGTTGTCTAGAGGGGAGGGGTAAAAATCGAATGAATGAATGAATGAATGAATGAATGAATGAATGAATAAATAAATAAATAAATAAATAAATAAATAAGGGGGGGAACCTTTTATTCAATGCATATGAAGACAACCGCACTAATCTGCACCCTGAATTTCCGCCCTTACTGGCCGCTGTGTTCCTGCAACTGGGGAAGATTACGCTCCTTGCAAAGATGAGTTTGGGACTGGGATGTGATAGCTCAGTGTTTCACAAGCTTTAGATCCTTCCAGACTTAACCCTTTAAGCCCTTACCTCCTCCTTCGCTTGCATTCATCATACGGGACTGCTAAGTAGTACCGTTTGTTAAACAGGTCCACCAATGGCCTGGAGAAAAATAAGATTGGAATAACGAATTCTTTATCCATGAAGTGCTTGAGAGAAGAACCTGCCCCACACGGTTCCCTAGCCCCTCCAGTTTAAGGTGTGCCTTCTATCCTGGTGGAAACCCCATGCAGACTTCGTTCACCGCCTCTCTGGAGGTTTTGGATATTGGCTCCCTTCATCCCTCGTGACTGGCCACGTTTGTTGTGGGCTAAGCATCGTCAAACATCCAGAAAGCAACCCAGCTGGAACGTTTTGACATTTAAAAAAAAGAAGAAATCAACCTTCGGCAAAAGGCCTCCTCGGATGAGATTTCTTTACAGGTCAGATCTGAAAGTACCGTCTTGTGTCATTAGGATCGTGTGACAGGAATTTTTGATTCTTGCCAGTATGAAAAGAGGGGATGGTTGGCGCAGAAGAGATGTGGATGAACCTGATGGGAGCAGTTCAAAATGTTGTGAAACTTAAGAGAGACCCACTATCTAGGAAAAACCCATTCTGTTACCTTCTGTGGGTGGGGACCCTCAGAAATTAGATGAAATAGTGGGGAGCCAAGATTTCATTTTGATGGGAGTCCTGCTGCAGAGCACCACCACTGAGCCATGACTCTCCCTCCTGTATCTACGCTACTTAATTCACGTTAAATGTTTGTGATGCAGATCTGCATTGGAAACCTTCCGGAGCCAACCAAAGACTTCCGGGAGGCTCATGCCTCTAAGACATGGTTCTTGGTTCATCTCTCGGTGTGCGTGGCTTGCAATTCTTGAAAGTGAACAGGAGAAGTTTTAAAATACTGTATGTATATCTACCTATAGTTGTAAAGAAGGAAGCCTTCGATCACCAGGACATGGATATCCCGAGAGGAACTGGGTGATTGGGAGTCACGCGAGACGTTCACCCCGTGGGATCGGGCAAATTTCACCGGATTCTCCATCCAGGCTTTGACGGTGCTCACCATGGCCTCCATATCCAGGGAATCCAGCACTGGTTAGAAGAAAGGGAAATATATGCCCACACAAGGGGGGATAATAATAATAAGAAAGTCAGTAGAGAGAAAGATGAAAAATTCAGTGTATAAAGTATAAATGTGTATGGATAGAATTATGCAAATTTTAAGGTATGTTTAAAATTGAATTATATGATAATGATAAAAAATATACTTAGGGAAATATACATTACTGCATCCTATAGCGAACACCGTTCTTACCATCCCACTGTTTAAAGCCGTCTTCCCCGACTTGTATTTGATCTTGTGGCTGAAATATAGTGATCAATAAAACATTGCTGCAAGACGCAGGGGGGGTGATCAGTTTACCTACGATTCGGATCACAGCCTGGACACTACTGCAAAAAGACACATGTACACACACATACACGCTCCCACAAACAGAGGCAAGTGGCTCTCTTAGCAAAAATATAAAAAATAAACACTCCCCAAAAAACCAGAAACAACCTTAGCCTTGGTGCAGAACGACACAAACGTGTAACCCTGCCCCACACCATAATGGTCCACACCCTCCAAAACACTGGCTGTTAGGTTCTCACAAGGTCTGGCTGGACTAGCAAATTGCCCTGCATGAGACAGGAGGAACTCATCTCTTAAACCTGGCTGCAATTTTAAGACCTTGCTGATATAATCCAAATCTAAAGTAACAGCTGCAAGATTAGAAACAGGGCTTCCCTAAATGTCTTCTTTTTTTTAGCATGCCCAGCATGTATTCCAAAAGCTTCCAAACTCATTAGATGATAGACGACGGGTGATATGAGCTAACAATTCACAGAAGGCACCTGCTACGGAGGGAAAGCAGCCCCAGATTTCTCAGGCCTGAGATCACCCGGGAGCCATAGGTGTAAGGAAGCATTTTAGCAATTTGTATCTAGAAATAAATAAAAGTTGTCTGCTGATCAAGCTGGGTTTTTTTTTTTGTCCTCCTTCCAAAACAAAACCGAATTTTCATGCTCACGTGGTTTCCGATTTTGCCAAGTGGGGCAGCTTGGCGGCTCTGGCGCCTTAAATAGTGGCACAGGATCACGCGGCATGAAATAAAGATTTAGTGCAGAACTATGGAAGGAACGGTTGCTATTTACTCACTAGAGACTAGATGCCTCCTTTCGCTAGAATCTGCAGACAGACTGGCTTAAAACCAACGTTTAGGGGAATCATGGAGGCCAGGAGATGTCTTATGGCTCGGCTCCGTGGCACTTTTCACGTGTGTGCCGAGGCTCAGCCAAAGAAGTCGCACAACGGCAAAGCAATCCACTGAAGCAATTCATCTGTGCGATTTGCACAAGCCAATTTAGCAAAGCGGGCCCGGACTTTTAGCCCTCCTGGAATTGGCAGGGCTGAAGCGACTCCGGACCAAGTTGTTCTCTTGATGAGAGTGGGGCTAAATCACAACGGGTCCAACCCGGGGACACAGAACTGCTTGGAAGACTGAAAAAAAACCCAGGGAGTGTCTCGTTCGGGAATAGAGTACAGTACTGTATTGCAATACACTGGAGATCCTAATAGAAGGTCAGAAGAAACCAGTGGGTGGCCAAATGGAAAATGGACAGGGCTCCTGCGCCTTTCACAGGGGCGCAGAAAAAGGAATTTCCCCACTCCTAGTCCCCCATAAGAAAAGGGAAAGAGTACCGGGCATCCTTTTTGCCACAAAATAAATGGCGCACAAGGGGTGTTTTAAAATGCAAAAGATGGGAGTGGCCAGTTTGGTCCAGCTTTTGAAAATGTCCGGATGCTAATTTTTGTTCTGAGTATAAATTTCAGTGCTGTCAAGGTTGCAGTGTCATTTTCCAGAATATTCCCACACAAGGCCCCCTTTTTCTGGTCATTAAAAACCTGTAGTCCCACAAGCGGACAGTCATGCACATGTCTTCCCTTGGGTCCCATTACACGCATGCACAAGCTTAAGTGATGTTCTGCGCCTGACTTGCACGAGACCTTGAGGTCAAAATCCAAATGTGCTCCCCACTTTGCAGGAGTGGTGTCATGTGTTATGTTGTTGGTGTGGAAAAGGGCATTTTGGCAGGATCTGGGGAGGGTGTGACCCTCGCGTAACAGATCTGTACTTGCTTTGGGCTGCCCCGTGTATTTAATATTTATAGATTAAAACAGGGCTTTTTTTTTAAAATTGTTGGTCACACAAATCATGGCTAATACAGCAAACCATGGTCAACAGACATCATGGTTTATTGTGATCCCCATTAACATCTTAACACCTCCAACAGCTTAAAGAACAGTAGAAAACTTTATATCTCATTATTATTGTTGTTGTATAAATCTTATTAATATTTAAAGCAGAGTTTAGATTGCAGCCCGAATCACCCCTTGACATTAGCTCAGTTGGCCGAGGCAGATGGGAATTGTAGTCCAATGGAAGCCCGAGAGGCTGAACTTTATACCCACCCCCTTTTTAATGCAACACAATTAGTTTTATGCCACTTGTCTTTTTTTTTTTTTAAAGATTCAGGTGATTTGACAGCAGTTTTTAAAAAAACAACAACGCTGCAAGGAAATGGGGATATTTAATGTTTTTGACTGATTTATTTGCAGAGATATGTATTTTATTTGTCCAGGATGGCAAATCTGGAGTAAAATGGTAGGCAGGTAGATAAATCCATTTTTAGAATTTCAGATTAAAATGCTGGAATGGTGACTTACTCAATGATTCTGCTGTATATCATCCTAACCCTTTTGAAAGGACATGCCTGTAGGGTTATGTTGGCATTTTTGAATCCACACTGCTCCTAAATAGTTGTTCATGAGTACAAAAAATGAAGATTGTGGAGAAATTTGACTTGGCAGATACTTGTCACGATGTGTGCACTTGAGAACGATTGCTTATACACTTTTTATACTGTACAAAACAAGTGCCTAAGAATGCAAATATCTTGTGAGTTCAGATGCAACCCAAATGTATATTTGGTGGTTAAGATAAAAATTGATGCTCACCAGCTTTCTCTGCAATGCATCCAACCGTAAATATCAAACTGAATTTCAATATATGTGTGTCTGCATATATATATATATATAAATACAGATATATTTACCTTAAAAAAGTCATCTTGATGGACAACACAACAGTTTGGAAGGGCTTTTATAAGTCTATTGGTCAAAGTGGTTTTGCCCCCATTCGTCACACTAAATGGAAGAAGAAAAAACATATTTGGAGCAAAATTGGAGAAATTATTTTGGGAAAAGCCAACATTTAGACATTCACTGAGAATAAATAATATTCCTATCTTTTTTTGGCGGGGAGGGGGGGGAGAACGACCCTTTGCCTTTAGTTTATCTCTATTCATATAGTGCCCAGAAATGGGATTAGCACTTTTAAACCTTTTTGTAAATTATTTAATGAATTTGGAACCCAAAGAGCCATTTTTGGGGATTATTTATGTCAAGTTACAATCCCTGCATAGTCTTATTCACAAATACTGTAAAACTGAAAGCCACATGGGAAGGAATACCTCAATAAGGGCTAGTAGCATGGGATTTAAATTAAATTTTGTGCCTAAATTGTTATCACTGCCTTAAAAAAAGAAAAGAAAGGAGAGAAGTAAGATTTTTTCTTTTACATGTTATTTATTTATTTGCTTCATTTCTACATCTCCTTTTTTTTCTTGTTCAGGGGCTTAAAATGTCCTTTCCCTCCATTTTTCGTGTCTTCCCCCTGTGCTTTATTCTAACACTTTTTTTGCAGTTTTGGGTTTTTTTAATGTAATGCCCTCATTATTTTATTTTGAAATCTAAGACGTTCATAACATCTCATGAATGAATTAATAACTGTATGTTTGGGAGCAAATTGACATTGCTTCCCCTCACGTTTTTATGCATTTCCCTGACTTTAAAGAAATAAATGTTTGGGAGCAAATTGGCATAGCTTTCCTTCACGTTTCTATGCATTTCCCTGACTAAGGTACAGTATACAGTATATCAAGTTCAGTTTAAAGGTGATGGGATAAAGATCTGAGCCTGCTGGGCGTATTTATTCAGGTGCAAAGGCCACTTAATTTAATTAAGTGGGGGTTAATTAGAGTAAACGTTGCCTAAAAGGAGGCGCACTGCAGCATGGCGACACGTCCGTTCGTGTGTCAACCCCCCTTCACACCCAAAGCAAGACCTGCGTCTTTCATTTCTGAGTAAAAAGCGGGAAAAGAAGGGGTTCTTCCCTCCCCCCCTTTGAGCTGAATTCCTCCCAGATCCTCCTCTTTTTTGCCATATAAGGTTAAAAAGGCGGAGAAGAGCAAAGCTCCAGACTAACAAGATTTCAAAATCGCCCGCCTTTTCCTCAAAGCCGGGCGCTGATTGGCTTCCCAGAGCTCCTGCCCAGCATCTCGCGCCGGCGGGATATAAATACGTTGACGGTCCGTTGCCTTCCTCGTTTCGGGGATTTTTGTTTTTGGCGCGCGCGGGAGAAGCGGGAGTGGGAAACTAGGGAATAAATCTCGTAATAACCTCAGAAGAAGTAATACATTTTATAAGATGGGAGATGTTATTTTTCTACACCTTGGGGCGACTATTTTTTTTTAATTACTGTATTTGAGGCGTGTGTGAAGGGAAGAGCGTTTCCCTCCTCCCCATACACAAAGCTTGGATATCATGAGGAGAAAAGCCAGTTTGTTTTTAAAAAGTTGTACCTATTTTTTTTTGCAGACCTGTTTAATAAGAGTAGGTATCGCTTACGCCTGCATTTTTAACTCGCACCTAATCATTTTGAAATATCAACCCAGATGAAAACAAAAATAACAAATTGGGAATTTTTTGTTTTTGTTTTAAATGTTCTGGGATATTTAGAAGGATTTGCCCTGAAATAGATTTTAAAAAGGGATGTCTGTTTTCTTCAGGTTTCCAAAGAACAAGATGCTTTTAATCTTTCTTTTGGTCTGTAAGCTTTTTGAAGGGAGGAAGTTGAGAGATTCTTACTTTCCTTTTTTCGCACCTTAACCCGGGCTAAGAAAGCCACCAGGGAAATAAAAGCAATAAACCACAGGGCATTAAACAGTCTTGTTTAACAAGGACTTTAACATGAAAACCGGTTCTGAGGGCCAAACATTTACTTTCTAGTGCTTAAGAAATGGCTCAGATTCTCATTTCCCCCTCCTTTTGAGGCTTCCTCCCCACAAAGCAGGGTCAGAGCTAGACCGGGTGGGCTAGTAACCCAAGGGTCAGCTCGCAGGTGGGGATTTGAACTTGTGTCTCCATGACTGTTTACTGGACAGGACATTTAGCAAAAATAGCAATCAATACTTCTCAAGGGCAAGGCCCATGACCAAACTATGTAATACCAGATGTTTAAGAAGACAAAACTGCAGTAAATGTACCAAAACAGGCAGGAAAAGGGAATGATAACTTGCAAATTAATTTTTTTTTTTTTACAATTCCTGCGTGTAAAACCTTTTCCAGATTTCCTTTTTTAAACCCCCCCCCCCAAACAACCAAACCTTTGTTTAATTTAGCATGGCATTTCTATCACAGTGCCAACATAATATTTATTTCCTTTACAGTACAGTATTTATATCCCACCTTTCTTCCAAGAAGGAAAGCCAAGGTGTTACAGAAGTTAAGTCATAACAGTTATTGTTCAAAAGGGATCCATTCATTGCCAGAATGACGTGTGATATAAATGCAAGTCAGTGATATCTTTATAGACCACTACAAAATTCATGCAGTCTAGGTGAAGAAAGCATGTGGCTCTTACACTACTAATAAAATGCATCCCGTTTCCATATGAACTGTGCAACTGAGTTAAACAACCTCTATAAAAAAGGGGGGCATCAAATGGCATGGATTATTAATTAATCTACAAATTTCCACTTAATGTCTTCATTCAGTGAGAACTATAACAGACCCCTGAGTTAGTGAGCAGAGGACCTCATTTAAAATAGCACTTCCTGCCAATGTAGTGAGAACAGCTTGCAAAGTCTGAGAAAGCCTGATGGACCTTTTGATCCTAATTTTTACATCTCCAGCTGCCTTCCTCCTGCTTCCATGAAAAAAACCATAAATATGCATTCACAGATCTGACCACATGCGAGCACAAACAAAAGATAAAGCCAAAGATCTGGGTGCAGCCAGCTTACCCGCCTATTCCTATGATGCATTTCATCTTCCCAGCTTCTTCGGCTTTTGTTTCCTTTGCTGAGGCGGGAATGCAAGCCTGGAAGAGTTTACAAATAAAATGCAAGGGAGAAGAATCTCCCCTCTTTTCAGCCAGCGAATGCTCAGCTATTTCATTCAGGAAAAAGGCCCGGGTGCCTGGCATTTATACACCACTGGGGTGCAAGCCTCTCCCCCTTCCCCTCCTCTTTTCTCCTCCCTGCTCTGGGGCAGGCCGTCCATGGGGATGGAAAAAAGCACTTAAGCGCCACCCCGAGCGTAAGGGGCACCTTTGAGCCTGGCCTCCTGATCACCATTGGGGGGTGGGGGAGTGTCATGTGTGCTGGGGCTGCACCTGTTGAGTGCTTTTCACACATCCTCACTTGTTCTTCTTCGCACTCCGCCAGGGTTGTTTCATTATAAATAGCTCTCTGGCTGGCGTCCTTTTGCCAAACTTAGTCATGGGGACACAGAAATGTCATGCATGCAGACCCCCGCACACTTTTTGGGCTCCCAGAGCCCAAAGGCTGAGACATTATTTCTTCTTTTCTCTGTCCTACAAGTGTGCCTTCCAGGAAGGCGACTTTTGCTTTTCTTCGAATGGCCTTTGGAAAATATTTATATATGACACACTTCTAAAGTGTTTTCTAATTTGTGTGTGTGTGTGTGTGTGTGTGTGTTCAAACGGAAATGAGGAAATCAACTCATTTAATTATCTCCTACAACTTTTTCTTTTGTATTTCCATCAATCAGTCTTTGGAGCTCAAATTAACCATCCATTGAAGCTTGGTAGTGGGATTTGTAGGAGAGAGAAGAGGAGATGCTTCTTCAATAAAGGGGTAGTTAAGCGGTGGAACTCCATGCCACTGAATGTAGTGATGATGACAGCCAATGTGGATGGCTTTAAAAGGAGAAAAGTCAGAATTCGTGGAAGGTGGGCTACCAGGGTCTACTCTGGAACAAAGCATAGGGACACGTATCAATGTTGTTGTTTAGTTGTGTCCGACTCTTTGTGACCCCATGGACCAGAGCACTCCAGGCCCTCCTGTCTTCCACTGCCTAGTATCAATGTTTCCAATGGAAAAACACAGCAGCTAGTGAGAAGAGTGCACAAATTTCACAAGGGGGCATTTCTGTTGCTGCTGTCTGGTGGCACATTTTGAATTTCTTCTAAAGAAGCAGTTAATCCCATTTCAGCTGCACAGACTTGCAAGTCACAGTCATCACTGTGTAAAAAAATGCACCCCCCGTACACTCATGGGGTCACGTTCTTCACAGCCGAACGGCGTGTGTGAGCAGCCGGACACTGCCAAGAACAATGACGCAGGCCCTTTTCGTGGGGGGACCCAAACACATCGGGCAAGAAGTTACCCAAATAAGGAAAGCTGGCAGCTGGCTGCAAAACAATCCAGAAGAATTGTTTTAGTAAAGACTTACGGGGGAGGGGGAAACCTTCCACACACCTTGTCAGCCTCAAATGTAGTATTTCCCCCACCAAATTGTTGCCTCTTTGGTCCTTCCGTGCTCACGTGTCCTTGTTAATATTTTATATATTTTATGGCTGCCAAAATGCATCTGTTTCAGACCCAATAAACAGAAGACACACATTCCTTGTTCGAAGCCTCAAATGTTTTAATTAAATATTCACAGATTCCCTCCGGCTTCAAACAGAGCAAGAAAAATGATGGCCATCGTACACTGTGAACAGCCATCCAGACTTCTTAAAGAGTTAAACCATCTAAATACAAACATGTTAGGAAGGTTGTGGGTGGAATGATATTTCCCCGCCGCCACGACCACAACTGGGGGGAGCAGAAAGGCTCTACAGAGGAACTGGGTGTGAGTTTCAGGAGGGTTTTGTTGTGCCTTGACCACAGGAGACTTCACGCAGAGAGAGCGGCATGCCATATTGTCCATTGCAGGGAATATACAAAATAGCATGTGTTATGTACACTGGTGGAGTTTTCTCCCCTTTTTCTTAGACATACGTATGGATTTATATACAGGACATGTGGAAGCAAAAGAGGGGGGGAAAGATTCTGAGGCCACAGGAGGAAGCCCTGCAACAGGACAGAATGATATGCTCTGAAGGGATTGTTTGATGATAAAGGATCTGCTGTGGAAATGAAGTCCTCCTTCCACCCTTCGACGAGCGTCACCAACTGATCAGTTTTTTGTTACAGAAAACGTATTTTTTAAAATCAGAACCAGGAGGAAATGCCATAATGACGCACAGGAGAGGAAAAAGCTGTGACGCAGTGGATGGAAATGGAGTAACAGATTAGCAACTTTAGGGAGGGGGATTCAAAGATATTTAATGCCAAAAAGCAGAGACAGACCATGAGCTAAATCAATTTTTGATCCCAGCTAGAGTAGGCCAATGGAAAGGAATGTATTGAGTAAGGTATGTTCCATTTAGTTCTATGGATCTGCTCTAGCTGAGACCATAAACAGGATGATGCTCATGTTTCCAGTCCCCTCCCACTTCACGGCAGTGACAGGAAGGCCTATCTTCAACCCAGAAACCCCAACCAGCATGCCCAGTGGTCTGGATTAATGGGAGTTGTAGTCCAACATCATCTTGTTTGGCTGCAGATTCTCCACCCATAGCCCATTAACTGAATTGCGAGATGATTCCAATCTTCTAAGAACAAAATTGCGTGGATGTCCATGTAGAAACAGGCATCAGAAACTTACAAAGAAATGAAAACCCAACAACAATAATAACAGTAACACCAAATGACAATATTGTAACCTGGTGGTTCCAAGGAGAAAAATGTGCATCTCTCTGCTCCTTCGGACCAGCCACCGGTGTTGGTTTTTACAAACACGGGAGTCCAAATGAGTTGGATGCAGCTGTGCAGCAAAGCACAAGTTTTATACTTCAGTTCTGGTCAATAATCCCAACATCTCCTGTTCCGCAGATCCTGGAGGGCAGAGCTGAAAAGGACCCTCAGCCTCATCTCTGCCCCGTGATGCTCCAGAGAACTGATTCTTGCGAGGAATAGTCCAGTACTGGATTCGGTGGAGCAGCACTCTAACCCCGCAGTAAATGCCTTGAGACGTTCCTTTAAATGCTTTTTAAAAATCATGCAGTTACTCTTTCATGTCCAAACTGCTGGTTTTCTCTGCAACTATTTCTATCCTATATATGTATCCAGTTTATATATAATCCCATCACCTCAGGGCAGAGAGGGCTGACAGGGATCTCCTGTTAAATTTCTGGGTCATTTATAGAAGGCCAGCATGGTTCAGCAGCTCCCAGATGGTCTGAATAACAGAAACCATCACAAATTCTCTGCCAGATGGGTTTTTGGGTAAAAAAAAATATATCCACCTTCTTCTGCCACAGTTTTGTACCTGGCTCCAGTTAGAGGATCACACAGTTCTAGCAGATAACGAAATACAGTGGTGCCTCACTTAACGGGGTGCTCTGTTTAGCGACGAAATCGCTTAGCAATGACTTTTTCGGAGCGTTTTCACGCTTTGTTTAGTGATGGTCCCTATGGGCGATTTTCGCTTAGCGATGGTTGGGACCATGCTTCGCATAGTAATTAAATTTTGGGGCCCCTGTTTCGCTTAACGATGGTTTAAACAGCCTCATGTTTGATGTTTTTTAAATATTTTCCTGTTATTTATAAAGTTAAAGTTTACTGTTTAAAATGTTTGAAATCATAAAGAGCACTTAATAAACCCTTTGTTAACCAAATTTGACTTTGTTCTGACTCTTTTTAAATTTGTTTAAATTTGTTCCCCATTGAGATGCATTGAATAGGTTTCATGGCATTTCAATTGGGGAACCGCGTTTCGCATAGCGATGTTTCCTATGGCTATTTTCACTTAAGGACGACAATTCATTCCTATTGGAACGGATTATCCGGTTTTCAATGCATTTCAATGGGAAACCGCCTTTCACTTAGCGATGAAATTGCTTAGCAGCAATTTTTTCGGAATGAATTAACATCGCTAAGCGAGGCACCGCTGTATATCCAATAAAGCCTGAAAAATGATCAATCCCAGCTTCCAGAGTCTGCTTCCTGTGCTGGCATGTTGGCACACAATGATTAGACGAAAATGTCCCCATAGATGTTGCTCCACTTTAGCCATCTGAAGGCGACTGTCCCCCGAAAGCATTTTTGAAATCTTCAATTTTTAAAAACATTTTGCTTTGCAGTTTAATAAGGTTACAACTGTTGGTTGTTGTGGGTTTTTCGGGCTCTTTGGCCGTGTTCTGAAGGTTGTTCTTCCTAACGTTTCGCCAGTCGCTGTGGCCAGCATCTTCAAAGGATGTGAGGCACCCCTTCCCGAGGCACTTGTCCTCTGAAGATGCCAGCCACAGAGACTATCGAAACGTTGGGAAGAACAATCTTCAGAACATGATCAAAGAGCCTGAAAAACCCAAACAACAACCATCGTGAAAGCCTTCGAGAATACATTGTTACAACTGTTCTCTCCACGTGCATGGTCCAGGAAGCCATCAAATTTGCACCGTGCATGTGTTCGCTTTCTTCTTTCGGAACTGGTTTAACATTTGAAAGAACCTAAACACAAAATGATGGAAAGAAAGAGAAGCCGCTTCTTTTTATGCTGCTGACATCTTGGGAGATGCACAGAACCCCTCAGATGCAAATACAATATTGCTTGTAGTGCCCTCTTGTGGAATTTATTATGCATTTATTTGCAAAATATAAAGTCAGAAGTCACTGGGTTGTTGGATTTCCAGGCCTCTCAGATCTAGGTGGATGAAAATTTAATTGTGCAGCTCCTTCTTAGAGGGGTGTCATGATTGTGAAATTAGTTTCTTTCTAATAGGACAAATTTCCAATAGGATGTAGTCTTCATATTACACTAGAAGAAAACGCGGATTGTAAATAGGTATCTTTTCCAGCAGCATTCTTGAGTTGGCATAAAGTCCTCTTCTAATTTTTCTCCCTCTTCTTTTTTGATTGCTGAAGGAGAGATATGGGCAGTCTGAATACATTAGCAGCTTGTATCTTATGTTTGGAGGTACAAATCGGGAGTGATTGTTCAATGCCACCAAAATAAAAAACCTATACACCTAAGCCACTTGAGTGTCCTCCCTTCCTTTAGTATACTAGTACCACATGCTTACTTGTGCATGAAAAGCCAGGATATTTCTGGGTATTTGTGATCTGAAGAGAAAACCCACCAGAAGGGAAAGATGTAGCAAAATCTTGTACACTCTTTATTTTGCTTTGAGCTCCACGTATAAATGGATCACCAAGGATGTCCTTATGGGAACGACGAGGTGAAAAGTCGGTAGACACTCCATATCTGTTGGAAGGGATGCCCGGAAACCTTATCCGGAGTTTGGTTTTTGCAGGTTTTTCGTCTCTCCACAAATTAACAAAGTGACAGAAATTAAGAAAGAATGGAGACATGCTTCCAAAGGTGGTTTACGCTGTCCTGCAGCAACTCAAGGAAGAGCGTACAAAAACCAGGTCTTCATTCTTATTCAGGCTGGAGGCTGTAATATCCTTTGTATCGTCTGTCTCTTTGCACTAAGCCATCTCTCTCTCTCTCTCTTTCTCTCTCAGAGATCATTGAGGGGCTCGGTGCCTTTTCCTGGAAATGGCTATAGACATCAAAGCCAGCGTTCAGGATCTCGCCTGGAGATGGAGAGGCGATATCTGTGTCGTTCTGGTGGGGCTGAGGATGAGATGGTCACAGAAGGTCTGAACACCAGGAAGGTCATTTACAGTAGTGGGTGGCAATGTATTGGACGGAGTCCCCTGTTCGATCCATGCGTCTCATGGTTCATGACATGCTAGGAGGAAGGGAGAAAGAAAGAAGGCTTCAGTCGATATCTGAAGACTGCAGATTCAACTGACAAACACTAGTATTTCAGGAGTGGAAAGAGGGCTGTCATGTCTCTGATGGCAAGGGGCAAGCCTAATTATCTTTGCCCAGTAGCCCTTCTCTCCTACCGTATGGGATAATTTTCTTAAGGCCACTTAATGTTTTCATGGACCAAGATGTTTCCAGGTTCAAAACCTACAACTGCGTCAGCTCTTAAGGCACAGCAAACCACCACCACCACCCCGGCCTTCCATCTCTGTACTCCAGCGTTACGATTCCGAATGTGATTTTTAAAGAAATTTAAGAAAATCCAGACCTTGTTTCCTGCTCCTCAGGTGGCGGTGCAGGAGGCCTGTTTTGGAAAATTAGATTAAATCGTAAACAAGTTTAGGCAAAATATTTGTGGATTAAAATCAGGCTTGAATCAAATATGAGGGTGCCCGAGGTTGAGCAACGTATAGTCCCCTAGCTGAAGTCCCCAAAACCAGCCAGTTATTTAAAAAGCTGGGTTAGAAAATTCCCAAAGTTCATTAATAGTTATTGCATGCCATCAAACTAATGTTTTCCCCCCTTTAAAATATGTGCCTTTTTGATACGAGCCCCATCATAATAAAACAGTGGAAGGTTTACCTTTCTCTTTCAGCCACAGCCTGTTTCTCTTCTGCCCTGTAAGGAAAAATTTAACTTTGAAACACTCAATCTTCTGAAGCAGCAACAGGAAAGAACAGTGCTTCCATGACAATAAGAAGTCAACTTGTAAAAATTTTTCTTCTTTTGGACTAAACTCCCAGAATCCCCCCTAGCATTCAAGCTGTGGAAATATTCTTGCATCCTTCCTTTCTACCATGCCCAGGAAAGCAATCTTACCTTTCTTTTCTTGCTCTGATCCTCTCCTCTTCATATCTAAAACAAAATAAAGCAGTAATCAGCAAAAAACACATGGCAGCAGGAACCATTTGCTCACAGAAACCCGTGTATTGTTTTTTTAATAACTACAAATCAAAGCAGACACTGAAGTGAGAAAAGCCCCTGCTGAGACAAACAGACCTTTCCCCACCATTTTAGGGAGCACCACTTCTAGATACAGTCTATGTGTATCACCTAGTCAGATTCTATAGTTTCAACAGATGCAGCATTTATCTTCTTTGCAGCAAGGAGGGTATCAAGGTTGTTGGGGAGGAAGATTATGATTGGGAAGGCAGAAACAATGGCAGGAAACAGAAGTGACCTCAGGCGTTGTGAGAGGCCAAATATACAATACTAACTGTAGGATACAGTCGGGGATCTGCACATGCTCCATGGGGATATTATGTGCTAATTCTTCCAAGGTGTGGACATACTGGATCTTGCTGATAAATTTCACACTAAGAGAGAAAGAAAGTTCACCTGTTACTGACATATTTTTGACTTGTTCAAAACGACTTCTGGGTCATTAGCCTGACTTTCAAGAGATTACAATTAATCCTATAACCTTTTATTTTAGAAATACAGTGGTGCCTCGCTTAACGAGGATAATCCGTTCCAGCGAAATCACTGTAGAGCAAAATCCTCGTTAAGCAAAATAAAAAATCCCATTGAAATGCATTGAAAACCCGTTCAGTGCGTTCCAATGGGCTGAAAAACTCACAGTCCAGCAAAGATCCTCCATAGGGGCGGCCATTTTCGGTGCCTATAAAGCGAGGAATGCGTCCAAAAACACAGCGGGGAGACATTTTACACAGTGGGCAGCCATTTTGAAGCCGCCGATCAGCTATTTTAAAGACATCGTAATGTGAAGAATCAGTTCCCGAAGCAGGGAACCAATCGTCACAAAGCAGATTTTGCCTATTAAAACATTGTTTTACGATCGCAAAAGCGATTGCAAAACAGTCATCGTATACCAGTTTCGTCCTTTAACGAGGCAATCATTAAGCGAGGCACCACTGTAGTGAAGAGCAGTGGGGCATATATAAGCGTACTTAGATAAGCACTAATTTTACACACCATTAAACTATAGGAAAACAGGAATCAGGTTGATTAGGTGACCCTTAACCTTTATGAGGTGAGGAGATATACATCCATGAATAAAATCGCAACAGGAGTTACCTGATGAATGGCCGCGAGATGGCCAGCACGGTCCGGATGAACCAGGAAGGGTGAACAATAATCAGGGCTTTCAGGTTTTTCCGTAATCTGTAGGAAAAGCCGAGGGAGTGAGACCGCAAGAGCAGACTAAGGCTGTTTGTGGCAGAAGCAATATTTAAAACACACACACACACTGGTCCTTTCAATAAGATTTAAAACAGGAAATTTATCTTGCTTTTTACAACTGCCGATTCCTGCCATGTTCATGACAGTATAACATAAGCAAAAACCAACAAAAACAACGGTTATAAAATGTTAAACGGTTTACAATCTATTTTAAAATGACTGTTTACTCTTTTCATCTTTGTCAGCTTTAAAATAATCATAAAACTGGGGCTTGTTTATTTGTACAATGACTTTGCAGGCTGCCAAAACGTGATTGCTCATAAGAATTGAATGGGTGTATCACCTTCTGTCAATCATTTGATAGCATTTTTTCAGCCAGCCAATGCCGGGCATTCTCCGACGTGGGGTGGCCCCGTTCAGGTACACAATCATGTAGTCCTCGGCCACAAGCAGCTCCAAGCTACTAATTACATACCTATTTGGAGAAAAAAAATGTAAGTAGTCTTTGTCTAGAGGGGCTGGGTATAAGTCTAAATAAAGTAAAGTAAGTAAAATAAGTCTAAGAGGTGAGGAAAACATCCGCGTGGATAATCAAAATGTGTTATATAGCTTTTTTAATACACAATTTTTACGCCACTTGCTGACTCACTTGCTGACCTTGTGGCTAAGAAGAAATGCTAAAAATAGAATGGCATTAAAAGGACTTATTTTTTGGAGGGTGGCAGGCCTAATTGATGACTTCAGTTAGCAGGAACAGAGAGACCGAGCAAAAAAAAAAAAGGAATACTGTACGTAAAAGGTTGGAAATCCAATCTCAGGTTCAGAATGGTGACGATGATATCACGTACGCTAGCCAGCTGGTGCTGTTCGGAAAGCTGGCAGTTACAGAATCATCTTTTTTTGGCTTTTGACTTTCAAGAGCCAAATATATTCTTTTTGTATCAACAGTGTAGATGCTGCTTCTGAAGCAGCCCCACCGCTGTCCAAGCATAACATACATTTTAATTACATGGTTTCAATTGCACGGCTATTCAAATGTATAAGATCATCCCCAATGATGCCATGTTAAAGAAAACTGCTCTAGCCTCTCTGCGCCTTGGTGGATACTGGGTGGGTCATCTGAAAATTAATTCTTCTTTATGCTGGATCCTTCTTACCACCAAATAATGCTAGATCATAAGGAAAGAACCCACATTAACTTTGTTTTAACACCTCATGCAACCCAAGCTGTGTATATTCAGCACCTAACAAAAACGAGCAAAAACCCTGTGAACTGGTATAACTGTGCAAATGAAGCACAATTAACACATTTGTCCACATCTCTAATTGGTTTGCTTCTGCCTGGGGAGGAGACAAATTCTGATTTGCCCACATCCTTTACATCCTCTCACACCCTCTAAATCTGGGTTCTTACAATCCTGAGGACAAGGAGATGCTTTTGGAAAGCCCAACGACAATAAGAAATGGTCCCTTCTTGGCATGGATTCTGCAGACGGCATGAGGTGGACTCTCTGACCGGATGAGGCAAACAGAGCTTTCTCCGTGGAGGATGGGAAATGTTACTCACAGGAAGAGGTTCTCCATGATGTAGTGGTAGTCGGGCAAGCTGCTGTCAGGTAGATAGCAAGCAGCAAACACAATGATGGCATTGAGCCCTTCCCCGTAATAACCTGAGAGAGAAAAAAGAGACACGGTGTCAGCTGGAAGGTAGAATTAGCCACTGAACATTATGGAGATGCCGAGATATTTTTGTTGGTTTATTTGCTTGCTTTCCTTCCGGCATTTCTAGCTATCTGCTTATTGAGATGTAGACTGCTATTCCTAGCTCTTCTTCATTCCTGCTTTCGAGTCCTTGCTATCCTTCTTGCTTTGCCCTAAAATAAGAGGCAGCCCCCGCTCAGCATCAACATACACAACTCCTGCTTGGTGGCTAAGGATAACCTAATCTCCCCCCCCCTTGTTCTCCAACCTCCGTGCGTCACCACTTTCATGTACGGCTTGATCATCTGGAGGTCGATCCGGTGCTCCTGTTCCCCGATGATGACTGTCCTCCACAGGCGGCCGTTGGTGGCGCTCCCGTCTTCCGTGGCTCCATCTCCGAATAAGTCAGCACTGTCTCCGGGCATGTTTTTGGCGGTGGCCACAGGGGTGTCGTCTAAGAATTAGGAGAACATGAATGTCTGGCATCACCAAAGTAGTCTGAGATACTAGCAAGAAGGGCCTGGGAACGTCTCCGAAACAGAATTTGGTCCTTAGGTCAAAAGAGGTCCCCCGGGGAGGGTTATTCTCCCTTCCTTTAGTTACCTTCCCACTCCAGATCGTTGCCGTTGCCCAGAAACTCAAGGGAATCCGTTTCATCCGGCGTCTCTATGTCATCCACATTGATGTCCAGATCGTCCGGGGTGTCCAGGAAATCATCGGAGAGGAGCGAACCCTCGCTCTGATCCAAGGAGATGTTGATTTCGGGGGCTACCAGCGTCTTCCGCTTGTGATGGGCCCCGTTGCTGAAATTTAACGTGTTTGGAGGAGCTGTGGGTTTTTTGGGTTGGGGGAGAGAAGGAGAGAAAGCGGGGGGGGGAACCCAAGTCATTTCAGAAAAGGTTCGCACGGGAAACTTTCACAGAGCATTTATTGTTGGTTTTATGCTGTGGCGTGGACTCGTTTGGTCTTTTATCTTTTTGCCTGTTTTTTTCCTTTTATCACAGAATCGGGGAATAAATGAATTGGAAAGGGGGCCTCTAAGGCCATCAAGTCCAACCCCGGCTCAAGGCCGGAATCCAAATCCAAGCATATTGGAGAGAGAGTGGTCCCTTTAATGCCTCCATCATTGGAGCACTCATCGCCTCCTGAGGTCATGGGTCCTGTTATCATACTGCTCTAACCATTAAGAAGTTTTTCCTGATATTCAGTCAAAATCTGGCGTCCTGTCACTTGATCCTATTCTGACATGTCCTGCACGTTGGGAGAACAGATCCTGTCCCCTTCTGTAGGATGACCTTCCAGGTCTTTGAAAAGTTTTACCCTATCTCCCCTCCGTCTTCTTTCAGTCTTTCTTCATATTTGCAATACAAATCTTATTTAGTTAGTTTGTTTGTTAACTGCCCTGCTTTGCACTAATCGGGCAGTATAAAAATGGAATAAATAAATACATTTCTGGTGGATGGCTCCTGTGTTGTGCCACTCACTGCTCCAGATGCTGAATGGGAGAAGCACTGTTTTATGTACAAATTTTGGCAAGCAGCTGCACCCTCCCCGGTATAAATATAAATAAATAAGACACGTGCAGGAGTAAAGCACCATGTATCGCTTAAAAAATGCATGCCTTTGTATATTACTGACCCATGGCGTCATTTCGGCTTCCTAAAGCATCCATTCCAGCTTCTTCTGGGAGAGGCCTAGAGATTGGAGAGAGAGAGAGGGAAATTTACACATCCTTTCCAATAAATCCTTCCCAATCCTTTCTTTTAAAAACAGAATTCATATGTTATCAGGTTGTATGAGCCCTATAGCGTTCCTTCCCTCCCCCCACCAATGCTGATAAACTTTATTTATCATTGCATTCAAGAAAAGCCCAGTCGAAACGTGTCTAGTCTTTCTCCTCTGGAGCAATTTCTTCAAAAACATTTGCTGAAGCCAAGTACAGTCATCAAACCAAACTCCAAAGGGGTCAAACCCCCCAGCCTGCATAAAAATCTATAGGTTACGGCGGCTGACGTCCAGCATCTCTTCCTGTCTGGGCATCGCAGAAATAAAAAAGCAGCTGCCGTAAAATAATTCCCTGGATTAGAGGATAATACTCTTCTCCCCTTCTGTAGTCGTCTATTATGAAACACACTTGGTTCATTCAAAGATGTTTTGGGGATAGCGGGTGGCGTGACCTCTAAATTTTTAGCAGCCAAATCCCACCTAGGATGGGATGATGAAGAAATGCATCCTAATTAGGTGTGGATTTAGCCGCAACGGTCAGCATTTTACAGTGCAAAGTGGATATTTTAAAAAGGGAGAATAACTCGGAGAAAAAAAGGGTCCTTTTCCTTACCTTCTAGAAATTTAATAAAGAGAGAGGGAGGTTTCAAGCATCGACCCCTCTAATAATCCTTTTCTGGGTTCAAACCTTCATTAGTTCCTTCCTGGGAAGTTTCATTTACAGGCACAGAAAAAAATCACAGCACATTCCTCTTCTCCTTCTTCAGTTCCTTTTTTTTTAAATTTCCTCCCCCCTTTTCCCCCCTGGAGTTTTGTTTTTTTTCTGAATCAATCCAGCAGATCATGTGGCACCATTTTGGAGACTATAATCTCCCGATCATATGATGGCTTTCAGCTCTACCCTATCCGCTTGGTTCCTCTTGCAGAAGAGGGAGAGTGCAACTGAGCATGCTCCCTGCATCCCAGCCTATGAGCATCTCTGCCTGGCTCTGGGGACGAGCATCAGAAGCGGCTGCGATGGGTCCCTAGTGAGCCAGAGACTTAACCTTTCTCCCCGTATATATATATATTCTTATATATTCTTAGCTTTTAACAGCTTCCCTCGCCTCTCTCTGCAGCTGGGCGAAGGGCAGAAATGCAATATTTCCTAGGTTTTGGAGGGGGGGATTTAATCTCTTTCTTTGTTTTGCAGAAGGACAATAAATAAACAGCAAATACCCTGCTCTCTCGCTCTCTCGCTCTCTCCCCCTCTGTGCCAGAAATTTGGAGAGATTAATATACGCTGTACTCTCTATTTTGGAGAAATTTACACAACACATTTGGTTTTTTTGCTTCATTTTAAAAGGAATGGTGCGCTTTAAAAAGAGAGAGAGAGAGAGACAGAGAGAGCCCTTCTGTGCGCTTACATAACATCTCAGCCCCAGAGGCAGTCTGCCAATTTAATCACAGTTTATTTCCTCAAAGGAATCATAATTTCAAGCAGATGGGTTCGGTCTTGATCCTGAAGCAACAGGCCCCAGGGAGCCAGGTTCGCGGTTCAGATTTTGGAGGTCCGCTGGTCTTCTTCAGGAAGGGGCGCCTGCAAACGGCTGTACACAATGCTTCTTGAGATGCCGTGCCTGAAAACCGGGGCTCGTAATTGACTATAAACACGACCCGCTTCTCCGTTCTGGATCCGACCTACTAATTGCAGAGGAGACTTTAATTTTTCCAGGTGTGATTGCAGAGAGGGGAATCCCATGAAATGGCATTGCAGGTAGAAAGCTAGCCAGCTTAGGTGTGGAAGCCTCTCGCCTCCCACCCGGAGGCGACAGAAAGAAAGGCTAAATGTGAAAAAGCAACCATTAGCTGCACGAAGATGGAGTACCTCCGTGGGGGCAACGCAGAGAGGCGACCCCCGCATAAGTGCGAAGGAAAAAGAAATCAAACCGTGAGACCCATTTTACAGCTTGGGAACACTGAGGCACAGAGAAACCATGGCTCGAGGGACTCATAGTGCCCGAGGACAAATCTTTTCCAAAAGCGGCTGAGAAAATAAAGCAGATGCTCTCTATTACTGGGATAAACATGGGGGTTTTTTTCGGTTGGTTTTTTTTCCTGCTTTCATTCATGTTTTCCAGGGCTGGTTATTTTTCTCTGCCATTGCCTGCGGTTTCGAAGAAGGAGGCATTTGTTGATCATGAGTTTTCAGGATGGAAAAGCAGCATAGATATTTTCAGAGAGCAGAATGGAAACCTGGCAGGTGCTTTTTTTGGGGGGGTTCGGGAGCTGCGTCAGAGGCTGTTGCCAGCTCGTGCCCAAACGTGGGCCCGGCCGGTACGAAGGACTCCATTCTCGGCCCCCGCAGGAGACTTCCCGACAGAGAGGTCCCACAAGGCTGCTTCTGTGTCCCTAAGACAATGGGAGTCCCTGTCTCAGCCCAGCTGCTGGAGCGAAGGGGCGCCAGAGCAGACGGACGCGTCCGAGGAAAAAGCCTGGCACGTCTTCCTCTCTGCCGGATCGTGAGCCGAGGAGTCTATGAAAGCCACATCTGCAGAGAAGACTCAGCTCTTGTCTTTCACTCCCCCACCACTCCTCGGTTCCAGGCTGAATGGGACCCCTGTTTCCTCCGAAGCATCCTCTCCAGGTAGAAAGGAACTTCATTTTGGTCAGGCCTGGTGGAGCAAGAGGGTCCAGAAGCCCAGCCAAGAGTCTAGGGGACTTCCCATGGCCCTGTTTCGAATCAACCCTGCATGCACAACCATGAGGACCAGGGACTTGCAGTATTTTTAAGAACATGCTAAACACACACACACACAGTGGGGTCGAGTCCCTCCTTCCCATGTCAGGGGACCCAGCTCAAAAGCCACCTTACCCAGCCATTAAGATGGAATGAGATGCAATATGCTTTCTCTCCCGCCCCCCACAAGATCTTCATTAGGGTAGTACTTTTACATTATAGGATTTGGGGTATGGGGGAAAGCTTAGGTGGACTACAACCCCCAGAATCCTCCTCATGTGCTTCTCCCATCCCCCCTGGAGATCGGGACCCACCTGGGGAAGTCTTCATCCTGCCATTCCTCCTTCACGTCCACATTCTCCATCCGCAGGGTGGCTTCCGTGGTACCCATAGCGTTGTATGGAAAGGACTGGCAGGAAGCTTGTGTCCCTGTTGGGGTCGGTCTGTAGGAGAAAAAGGGAGCCATTGATGTGGGAAGAAAAACCCACATACATTAAAGGGTTGAAACTTGACGCTGCCAATGGGCATTCACGCCGCCCTTCCGACACCTTGTAGAGCAGTTGATTTCTTCCCCTACCTACTATTTTGCCTTTATGGCTAAAAAAAAGCTCCCACGTCAGAAAGGTTTTCTGCTTATTTGACATTGGAAGGATCTCAGGGTTTGGCCCCCAACAATCTTAAGAGAAATGGGGTTTTTCCAACCTGGCGGCTGCCCTAAATTGTGGACAATCCTGGGCCCCCAACCGCCAAAGGACTTGATTGGATGGAAAAGCACCTTCTGGCGCGCCTCAAAGCAGCCCCTGATTCTGAACCTTGAGGACTGGAACCCTGCTTTTGTCTTTTGAAAGGGAAGGGCCTGAGCTCCACAGCCACAGGATCGACCCCCTTGCATCTCCACCGGAGGCAGGAACAAACGCCTCCTGGGCACCCCAAGGGTGACCCACGGTCTCCCTGCCCTCCTAGGCGAAGCGGTGGGCTCGATGGCCGTGGGGCGTGTGGCTCATTGGTGGCAGGAAGATGCTACCCGAATGCTCGACCATGAGTGCCACCTCCTAGCTGCAGAAGCACAGCCTTGCGGCACACCAAGATTTCTTTAAAAACCACCCCCATGCCGGAGGCACCAGGCGTGCGCATTCTTTCTCTGTCTTGCCGCATGAAAACCAAGATGCCGGCTTCCGATTGCACCGAGAGCTGTGAAGCCTTAGCGCTCCCTCCGGCGAGAAGACAGCTGTGAGGTCTTCTTCCCTCTCGGTGCTCATGTTCCCCCCAAGCCTCCGGCTTCTGTGGGTTTTGCTGGGAATCCCTGACCCTTCTCCCCACCATCCGTGCCTGCTGGAATCCTTCCCCATTCCCCACCCAGGTATCCTGAAATCCTGGGCCCACACCTCGGCCGCGTCTAATCCTGCCACCTTCCCTTCCAGCCATGCCGGCATAACATAAGGGCCCCACCACCACCGCCACCCCCAGCCGCACCATGATCCCTGTCTGTCCCCATACCTACTGCATCCGTGTGCCTTTTCCCCCCACGGTTACTGCCTTTA